ATCCTGCTTCTCTTGAGCAGCACATTATTACTGTGCCATGGAGCTGGCCAGCCCTAACACAGTTTTAAATGTAGTCATTCTTAAACCCGCATTGACTAAAAGTAAGCTTTGTAGAACTTCTAGGTATAAGCACAGATATATGCACAGTACATAAGCCAATGTACAGATAATCTATGGAATTAAAGTTTCATAGGGAGGGGCCAGCAGGTGTCATGGTGGTTAAGGCACTCTTCTCCCACATGGCAGACTGCAGTTCGAGTTTCAGACCTGGTGATTTCTTTCTCACTCTCCTTCTCTTGCTGTCTATCTCTCTGGTGAGCACACGTGCCTAGTAGCAAATTAAAAAAAAAAAATTAAAAAAAAATAATGATAGTAAGTAATGGGACCAGCAGATGGCATAATGGTTACATCATTGGACTCCCATGTAGCTGACTATGGTTTGAGTCCCAGACCAGGCAGTTTAAAACTCACACTGGGCACATTTACATGCATGCCCAAAATCCTGAAAGGAGAACGGAGGAAAAAGGATTGTGGTGTGGCCATCCCCCTGGTGGGTGATTTTTCACTTTCTGTCTCTCTCTGGTGAGCACACACCCTATAGCAAAAATCTCTGTATAATAATAATAAGTAAAAATTTTAAAATAAAGTAAAATAAGGGGCCAGCAGGTGGCATGGTGGTTAAGGGTGCTGGACTCCCATATAGCCTATGGCAGTTTGAGTCCTGGACCTGGAGGCTTGATTTCTCACTTGCTCCCCCCCCTTCACTTGTTCCCTCTCTGGTAAAGTTAAAATAAATAAATAAGTAAAGTTAAAATAAAAAATAATTATTAAAAAATAAAATAAATACAATAAAAATTGGTTTAACAAGTCAAGAAAACAACTCATAAATAAAAGACAATTTCCTTGGGAGTGTTTTCTTGGGGGATGGCAATGAAACAAAAAAGATCACAGGAACATTGAGATAGATTCAGATTTCCAGAACAGCTAAGGCTTGAAAAATGAATCATAGAAAAAGAATAAAGAAAAAGGAAATTATCCCTTTAGTTCTCTGTAGGTTTATTATTTTTGTCACTTCAAAGAACAGTACATTCATGTAATCCACAATTTAGAAATGCAAGAGGATATATGGTAAAGAGTAACGCTCTCCCATCCTCATCCCCAGCCCCTCCATGTTCTCTGGGGGCAGCCGCCATTGTTTCTTCTGTATCCCTCTCGAGGAATTCTCTGCATTCCCAAGCATATATCTTATGTAGTGAAATGAAACATCCAACATCTAAATCAATGTTAGATGTTGCACTTTGATCTAGAAAAATCCGTGGTACAAGTCCAGAGTGTGGGAAGTCTCAACAGCAGCACGTGTGAGGAAAACTCAGGTTTTAGGTGACGGTACCCTCACTATGAGTCAACCGCAGTGTGGCAGCCAGAGATTAGGCAAGACTGGGGTACATTTGCAGACGGTTGGTGTCTGAAGCAACAATTGCACACAACAGACATCTCCTGAATACCTGCTTGTGTATGCCTGCCTGTGTGCTGGGCGCTGGGGACACTGCAGTGACCAGGATCATCTCAGTCTGAGCCCGCATAGACCCTGCCTTTTGAAGTGACTTGGTCATCTCACCCTGCTCTACCCTGCCCAGACTCCATGGAATCCTGTGTCCTGCTTTGGCCAGCTCCCTTCTGTGGGAACATTGACTACCAGGAGCTGGGCAGAGAGAAGAGGGAGGAAACCTGAAGCTATGTCATGTGAGGGAAGACAGCAGAAACTGGACGTGTTTATTTAGCTTTTGAGAAGCACGAGATGAGAATATTTATGGAGGACATAACAGCTGTCTCACATCCATGAGGGGCTGTCATGTGGAAGACAGGTCTGCCTTACTTTCTGATCCCGGAAGGCAGAACAGCTGCCCACCACTGCTGGCTGGTAGCCTGTCACATCAGAGGAACCCTGGAATCAGTAGTTCAGACTTGTTCCAAAAAGGAGCGGGACTTCAGAGGCAACTGGCTTCCTCATCCTGTGAGGGAATCAAATAGAGATTAGTCAACACTTTGAAGGAGACAGTTCTCAGCTGGGTTGGGGGTTGAATTATAGGATTCTTTTCAGGGTCAACAGGTGATGTGTTGGCTAAGGCGCTGGACTCCCACATTGCCCACCGCAATTCGAGACCCAGACCTGGCAGTTTGTTTTCTCACTTTCTCTTCTCTCTTTCTGTCTTTCTCTGGTGGAGTGCATATGCCCTGTAGCAAATTATTAATAATAAGTAAAATAAAATAAATAAATCTTCAAAAAAATTCTTTTTGGCTCTAAGAACCTGTCTTTAGAGGCTCTTTAGGGGAAGCCATTCTATAGGCCAGATTCTATGGAATTGATAAAACAAAAGTTGGTGCTAAATAAATTTTCTTCCTGGAGGAGAGAAGGGTGCCAGAATTGCAAGCGTGCTGAGATGTTCATTGTTGGCTTTCACATAATATTTGCTTATTGATATAAAAATAGTTGCTTATTGGTGTGAAATTGTTAGTTCTAGGTGAGCTAGTAAATAGTTTCAAAACAAACTATACTCGCACTAGAGTCTGAGTATCGCTGAACTTTAGAACAATGAGTGGTTGATGAATGAATGCATGTCTGAATATATGTCTGCTATTCCTTATACAGTCCTGAGGGACATTTGCTCGACTGTGCCTTTCCACACAAGTACAGCATATGACAGGAAAGCATGGTAGCCTCGACATATTTGGATGTTTTCATTTTACTTTTTAATTTTTTTTAACGTTTTTTTTTGTCATAGGGGCATGGAGAGAGACAGAGACACAGAGAGAAAGTAAGAAATCATCCTCCAGAGAGGAATGGCCAGATTGAAGTCCCTTTTCCATCCTCTCAAGATTTTGGGCACATGTGCACTTGTGCACTTGTGCTTGGTGTGATTTTCAAACCACTGGGCCCAGAGCTTGAATCACAGTTGGCCATGTGAGAGCCCAGCTCCTTAATCACCCTGCCACCTGCCATTCCCTGGGATGTTTTCATTTTTAGTTCAGATATTTACACAAAAGCTTTTTCCCCAGGAGAAGTTATATTTTTTTTGACTGTCTAAGAAACAATTGGGTTTTGGGAACCAGCAGTTAGCGTAATGGCTATGTCGCTGGACTCCCATGTAGTCAACCACAGTTCGCGTCCCGGACCCGGTGGCTTAAAACTCACGCCGGGCGCGTGTGCGTGCGTGCCCAAGATCCCGAGAGGAGAATGGAGGAGAAGGGATTGCGGCGTGACCATCCCCCCTGGGGGGTGATTTCTCGCTTTCTGTCTCTATGTCTCTGTCTGTCTGGCGAGCGCACGCGCCCTATAGCGAAAACCTCTCAAAAAAAAAAAAAAAGAAAGAAACAATTGGGTTTTAAACACAGATTATATTTAAATGTGCACACCGTAGGATAGTATGGTGGGTTTCAGAAGTAATATACCTGGGCTCATGTCCCAGCTTTGCCACGGTTCTTGGGCATGTGTGCAATAGCTATTTCAAAGTCCTTTCTGTATTCCAGTCTCATGTTAGGCACTAAGACTGCCCAATGAATAAGACAGAGAAGGTCCCACCTTAAGGGAATTTATCATCTAATGGAGTAAATTAATCTCTGTAAATCTCAGTTTACTTTTCTGCAAAATTGAGATAATATTACTATTTCATAAGGTGGTGAGGGTTTTTATAGGCAGTGTGTTAAGTATGTCGACCTAAGAAGTAAACTGCGACAGAGTATGGAAAGGAAAACCATTTTCTTTGGGTTTGAGGACTGCAGTCTGGCATGTGCACCAAGGTCTTTCAATCTTCAGACAGGTTTTAACAGCAAAACCCACAAAACCCCACATTTCTCTCAGTTATCCTGTGAGGGATGTTACGTGATTAAGCACACTCCCAGCTGTGGGAAGCTAAAGCACTGAATTCTCACATAGGAGCATTTTACCAATGCAGGTGAGGGAATGAGGATTTGAACCTTGACAGTCTTCCAAGTTGATAGTATTAACATGACAGGATTTGGAACCGTTCGATTAAAACAATACTTGTTTCCTGATTTTCACTTTTCTGACTTGAAATCAGGAATGTGGTGTCAAGTGACAACTTCCTTGTTTTCTATTTTTTATAAACAATGCTTATTTTAATAAATAAAGCACACAGGAATTTTGTGACAGGAGGAGTTAAGATAGACAATAGATACCTTGTCCTGCAATCCAGATGAGTTTTTCGATGGACAAAAGGAGAATAAACCTCTTGTTATTGCCTTAGTATTGTAACGTTTTTACAGTTGTTAACAGAAACTTAGTTAGATAAGCAGAATTGAACATTTTTTCCCTCTTGTTGTACACATTTCTTCTTGGGAAAACAATTAGATTCTCCCAAGACAAAAGTTCAGGTATTTGGGGAGCATTTCTACAAAATGACCTTTAGCTGACAGGCTTAAGATATGACTGACAAATGGAGAAAATATGACATAAAGCAGGATGATTTCACCATACCATAGATTAGAACTCGATCTATTAGGACTCCTTCAATACCTCTATTGCAAAAATTAGAATAATGGAATTGAAAACTGAATTGGACTTTTAGCGATCATCTAATCTGAACCCCACATTTGATGGGTAAAGAGAGTGAGTCTAGGCAATGACTTGCTGTTCACTGAGGCTTACTTCTCTTTATTAAATATATGGGCAAATAAAGCCTTTGAGTGAAACCATGGGATTGTAAGACTTACCTTGAGGTGAAGTCTGTAAAACTCACTAAGCATCTGGAATATACAGACTACTGTGTTTATAACGGTTATTAATATGGTTTGTATTTTTTTTTAATTAGGTAGGAGAGATTTTCTTAGGATATTTAAAATTTAAATATCCCATTAAGTGGTATTGTTTAATACCATCCGTGTGTGTGTGTGTGTATGTGTGTGTGTGTGTGAGTCTTTGACTTCTGTGAGTAATCTATACCTTATTTTTCTCCCTTCCATCCCTACTCTTTCCTCAATAGAATGGGAGCTCACTGACATGGTGGTGTGGGTGACCGGAGCATCAAGTGGGATTGGCGAGGAGCTGGCCTACCAGTTATCTAAACTAGGAGTTTCCCTTGTATTGTCAGCCAGAAGAGTGCAGGAGTTGGAAAGGGTGAAAAGAAGATGCCTAGGTAAGTAAATCTAAAACTGCAGCAGTTCTTCCTAAACATAAAGGAAAACCCAAATTCGAATGCAGCTTGGTGAGTTTCACACAGAGAGTGGGATTTCCCTGGCAGTAGACCCTAGCTGCAAATGCTCCAGGTTCTTTGGCCTGGTCCTTTTCTTTTTATCTCCTAATTAGCTTCCTTTGCCTTTTTCTTCTTGTCTGCTACTTTTCTACCCCCCCCCCCCTTTTTTTTTTAAACACTGACACTTGACTTCAGGAACTGACCATCAATAAATGCTGGTGGATTTTTAGTGGCCAGGTGATAGAGTGAATGATATTTATATATATGCGTATATTGGGTCATTAGAAGTCATGATGCATTTTTGCATTAAAAGCATAGAAAAAACACATCATAACTTTTTCAGTGACCCAAAATGCACTACACACACACACACACGTTTATTTATTGAGAAAGAGAAAAACCTTGACATGGTCTTGTCATTCCTTGATCCCTGTCCCACCAGCCTTCCAGCAGCCAGGATCACAAGTGTGCCTCCAGACATGCCTGGTACATTCAGGTTACTCAAGAACCAGACCCGGGTCTTCCCATTTGACTCCGTATCATCCAATGGCACCTACTCCCTGTGTCACCCTTCTGCATATACCACCGTAGGTGGGCCTGTATTTTTGTTTTAG